ACCTGACTCTGTTTCTCTTGTATGAGTTTAAGTACGGAATCAATGAGATGATAATCTTTTGATCTTGCATCCGTAAATACATAGATAAATGAATTGGGTAACGCATATTCTAAGGCTGTTTTTACTGCACTAATAACCATTTCTGGACAATCACCACCACCTTGAACTATAAGATCTTGAAGACCACGTTGAAATCGAGCAGAATCTCGTGTTCGTAAAATAGGTCCAATTTCTACAATAAACGAATTAATTTCTATTATTAATATTTTTTCTCTGAATATTTCAATAGGTAATATATCAATAAAATTAAAATTCGATTAACAAGTATTTGTTAAAAAATTAATTTTACCTGGATCATGAAATGGAATTAAAATATAATCATAAATAGAATTTTCTCGACGAATAGTTGTATTATAAATGTGGCTAGCACCAAATATCACTTGTTGTAAATCATCGTACATGGAACCGGTCACATCGAATACAAATGCTAATGATGAAGAAAATGGTGGTGGTGGTTGATGTTCTCTAACATAGTCAAAATTATCATCATTATATGAATTTATTTCAACTGTTATTATTAACAAAAAAATGAAACAAATAATAATAAAATCGTCTATTTTCATTTATATGACAATCTCATTGCATTAAAATTTATAATATATGCTAAAATAAAAAAAGAATGTACGTGCATGAACGAATATAAACACAAAGTAGTTAGTTTTCTTAAAAAGTAATAAAATCATTTCTTTCTTCTTCTTCTTTTTTTATAAATGAAGAAAAGCCTTGATTGTTCAGAGGTAACCGCATTTTCCACGTTAATAACCTTTTATCTCTCGTTCAGTAAACCATGAATATTTATATCTATTGAACAAAATCAAAATGATGATGACCTAATAGATTTCATTGATGATGATGATGATGAAAAAAAAACCATCTTGGATATGAAGATACAATGTTATGGATTTATATTACTTGTTTTAACTGGGAGGTTAATTGTTGTTATATTATAGTTGTCGAAATAACCACATGTATATGTCTAAACAATTATGCCACAAACTGTTTATTTTATTATTTTTTTTTGTCTAATAGTTTCTGGCTATAGGCACACGTAGCACCGATTACTGGTAAATGACTGACAAAATTTATCATAATTATTACTTTATCCCAAGGACAAATGTATAAACGAGATTATTCTATTATTATCACTTCTGTATTTTTACTATTCGTCTCTTGAAAGCATAAATTTTTTTCAATGGCAGGGCTTTCAATAATGATGAAATTTGTTCTGAAAGAAGTCGACGATCCGTACATATTTAATTAGAGATAGATATTGTTCGTTACC